GGCGAAGTTGTAGTACAACTTTAGTACGCGGAGTATCTGGGGAGCTGGAAGATGAGAACTGGCGACTTACAACTTTAGTACGCGGAGCAATCTGTGGCGCTGGAAGCTGAGAACTGGCGAGTTTGTAGTACAACTTTAGTACGCGGGGTATCTGGAGAGCTGGAAGATGAGAACGGGCGAAGTTGTAGTACAACTTTAGTACGCGGAGTATCTGGGGAGCTGGAAGATGAGAACTGGCGACTTGTAGTACAACTTTAGTACGCGGAGCAATCTGTGGAGCTGGAAGCTGGGAACTGGCGACTTTGTAGTACAACTTTAGTACGCGGATGAGTCATCTCTCGCGACTGCTCTGGCGCCCCTGCAGCTGAGTCATGTCTCCCGACCACCCGGCTCTCTTGAGAGGTTGACACACACACAGAGACCCACGCACTGCCTCAACTTACTCGGACACACACACAGACAGACTCATACACACACAGACATAGATACACACACAGAGACCCACACACTGCCTCAACTCACTCGACTTAACACTTCACACTGAACACTTAACAAATAACTCACACTCTGACTTCCTACGTGATGACAAATGCTTTCGGGCCACTCGTTGTCTAGTTTATGGGTTTCAAGTGTCTTCATGTCCAAGCATGCTCAGTGTCTAAAAAATGTGGCACCAGGATCCAAACACTTGAGGAATACAAGTTCTCCAAAACCAGCCGTGGGGATCCCCCGTTGAATTAAGCCACCAACATGGACTGTCACATTCTTTAGGAACCTGTCTGTGTGGTGGCTGCCTAAAAATCTAAACCCCCGTAACCCTAAAACTCTAAAGAATGTCTGCATGTGCATACTCAGGAGGGCAACTTAAAGAATGTGGATTTAATCATACTTAGGCTGTAATTATAGAATTTCTGGGTTTACTGTACATGACCTGGTCCTCAAAAAATGAGACAACCCAGGTGACAGTAGGACAGTTTCATGCCAAACCATCGAAAACCAATTCAAAATATGACCAATTGATGTCAATCATTCTTCATGACGGTTGCAGATGCGTTGCTGCTTGCTGAGAGTAGAAGGAAAAATGCGATTGGTATTCACTCAATCCACAAAGATCGACCATAGACGGCTTGGTATAAGCAAGTACGTGAAAATCCAGGACTGACACATGTCTGGGTATATGTGAGTTTTCGTCAAGCCAAATGAGGCACGGCCTATTTGCAACATTTAAAGCAAATTTACCTACGAAAACCAGCTCTCTAAAAAAGGTGAACCTCGAGATCCCGTTAAAAAGCGAATCAAACAAATTGCAACCTGGCAAAACTCTAAAAAATGTCTTCTTTAAAACAACCCGAGTTATCACATTCTTTAGGATAAATTCCAAGGGGGATCAAATATCAAGTATTGAAATTCAATGTCAAGCATTCATTCTTACGCTGGCAGCTACAGTATCATCAAGAACCATCCGCATCGGGACGCTTGTGTAGATGACACTGATATTATGAATGATTTAACTTGCACTTGCAACGGGCACTTTCTCTATGTGCTGCCACGATTCACATCGATCGATGTATGCAGGAATGCTCTGGATGGCCCTGTCTTGAGAGCACATCTGGAGACTATTGACAAACCACTTGCTGTCAAGGAGTTGTGGGATCGAGAAATAGTCGTACCAAAAGAACAATGGCTTAGTCCGAAGCTCTGAAAGGTGTAGACTTCTGCCCCTTGTATTGTACTCTGTAGCGATGTCCGGGTAGATCCACTTCCCCTTGGACAGCATGTTCTTCAAGGCATCTTGGAAGGTCTTCATCTGGGCAAACTCGGGGTCTGGGTTTGTAGCTGAGATCCATTGGTGCGAGATGAAAGCTGCCTTCCCCATGCTGGAATCAAATTCCACCAGCAAATCTTCTTCCATCAGCTCTTCATGTGGCCTCATCTTTTCCATGGAAAGCAATACCTTCAATGGCACGGTGTAGTTTGGAAAGGTCATGGGAATGGCGGATCTGAAGTTTGCCACCTGTCCAAAATCGGGGGGGCGATGCTGCATGGATCTCATGACCTGTGTAGTACTTGGGGATATTGGGAGAGCTCAGAGGTCTTGGTGCTTACATGTCCTTACCAGCCATCAGATCTTAAGTTTGACACTAGATAACATCTCATTCTAGACCATCATCTTTGACTGCATCAAACATTGTCAAACCATGTCAAGACCTGATTACGAAGTGAGATTATCGGGGGGAGCTCTTCTTGTGATGTTTACAGGGATTGCTAACGGCTCATTGCCACAGTATTAGACAGTGGATGCTTGGCTGAGTTCAGTACAGGACAACTTATAGGCTATCAATGGCTATCAAAACACTTTTTTGGAAGTGTGTTTCCAATGGTGAAACCACACTGAGAGAGCGCCACTATGACACGGCTGTGATGAGCATGCCATCATGATAGTTGCAGGGTACTTCAGCACATGCCAAGCACGTAGACAACCAATAGCAAACCAATGGCAAACCAGCCGAAACGTAACATGCCAAAACCAACCTCAGTGCTTTGCGTCCTCCCTTGTCGCATTTTGCGAGAAAGCTCTTCCAGATCCGTGGGTTTCGACGCGCAGCGCCAGAGCGCCATTGCGTCAGGAGTGGACCAAGCGGACCGCTATGGGCAATGTCGGATACGTCGTGCTATGTCACGCTACTCTCTAAAAGTAAACCACAGGATACGAGTTGGTGACACTTTTCTGGAAATCCCAGGAGGGTTGCTCAAATCCCCGGCGTGCAATGGAACTTCCATGGAGTATGGTGCTGTGTTGTGGATATGTGTGGATCTGACTTGAGCCGACATGGACCAGTTCAATCTCCTTGGCTTCCAGCTAAAGCGGTAAACTGACTCAACTTGATTGAGCCTGACAGCCCCATGTGCTGATAGACCAATGTAGAATTGACGATTACCTTTGACCTGATGACTCATGACAGAATGCTACACCACACTTTATGATAATTGCGACGTACCAGCGACCAACACAGGGCGACGCAGCCTGGGGAATGTTGGGGGGCCTCAAGCTGGGAACCTGGACATTAGCGTTAAGTCTATCTTTGCTAACCAGGCAATGGAAAATTGATTTTGTTTACTTGTCATTTAGATCTTCATTTAAATCACTTGTCATTTAGATCTTCATTCGTTTTATTCCTGACGCTTCGCGTCGACCGCCGCCCACACCGTTTTTTTTCTTCGGTCGCCTGGGGAAAGACTGCTGGAGTGGACGGGGGAGGTCGGGAGTGGTGTCCAAAGAGATGGCTTGTTTGCCGCAGCATTTTGGTAGAGCAGAGGGTGTAGAGGACACAGTGTGGAGGCAGCGCCAGTGCGTTCCAACTTCTTAATTCACATTACGTCGAAAAATTTTGCACATGACAGTATTTCTATGGCCATGTTGCGGCTGAGTTACGCACAAGTTCGCTCGTTTGGTGGCCATGTTAGCCAATTCAGGCTCCAAGTTCGACCGTTTTGTGGCCTTGCCCCCGCTTGGTTAGTCCACATTACATCATGTCAAGGCTAGCTTGATCGTTTGGTGACCATGTGTTGAGGCTACGTTGGGTTTTTTGCAATAATGCTGGTTATGCGTTGCTGGTCAGGAGGGTTTTTAAGCATCGTGGGTGCCCGTTTTTTGGGTTGTTTGGGTTGTTGCAGAAACGTCGCAACGAAGCAAACAAAATAATCCAAAAATGTACCTCCAAAACGTTATCCCCCATGGCCCTCGAGGCGTAAGACGTTTTCCCCCGAAAAAAAAGGCACCCCCCTAGCAGAGCTATGAACTGATTACGATGTGATGATGACGATGATTCCAGCTTGACTCGCCCCTAACACGTCCTGCACCGGAAGCGGTGTGGGCGGATTTTCATTTGCATCATGTTAACCCTTCCAGAATTGGCTGGCTTTGCTGTCGCTTCCCATGGGTTTCCAAAATCACTTCGGTCACAGTCAGCGCCCCAAACTATAGATGCGTGAAGGGATTGCCTCACCCATCCCTTCCCGAGCAATCGAAGCCAAGGGTCAAAATCATTGATCTAAACCACTGAAGCCCAAAAGCCTGAGCCTAGTGGCCTAGAAATTTGTGTCGTACAGAGATGGGAGGTAAAACAGGTTAGTGAGGAGACGCCCTCGCCCTAGCACTGATTGAAAACTAAAATGACATATGAAACTGTCAGAAACAAGCAGTCATGACCCAAATTAAAACCAAAATGACAGATGAAAACATGATGAACCAAATTAAGACCAAAATGACACATGCAAAAACGATGCACCAAAATGCCACACGAAAAACGGATAAAACAACGAAAAACACTTAAAAAGACGAAGCCATGAAAAGCGATGAAAAGTCGTGTAGTTCGCTCTAAAACTATTTCATGTTTTTCACTGTTTTTGCCTTTTGGCTAGTTTCGGCCACAAAGCAAAGAAAAAACAAACAAAAAACGAACAAACGTAAAAACATGAAAACTGCGTTCGCTCGAAAAATGCAATTTTCATCGAGTCTTTTTCGTGCATTTTTCGCTTTGGCTAGTTTCAGCAACAAAGCAACGAAAAAACAAATGACAAATGCACAAAATTAACACCAATGAAAATTGTTTTGTTTTCTCGCAAGTTGTGATTTTCCTCGAGTTCTTTTTTTCATTTTCGTTTTGGCTAGTTTCCGCCAGACATCAACGATAGTCACGTCCATTTCACAAAAGCTAAAGCAGAATAGAAGGAAATGCGAAACCGACTAGCCTAGCAAAAAGGGTTCAGGACTAGCTGACTTGGCCGCCTTTCCTTCAGGGGAGGCAATCGCAATTGAGCTCCAGCATCCTGTTGTCTTTCATGATCGTTTTAGCTAGTTTCGGCAACAATTTGGCAACATTGTATTTTAATGTGTTCATTTTGCTTTAAGTTCAGTTCAGATAGTTTCGGTAACGCATGAATGACAGTCAAGTACATTTCACACCAGCTAAACCAACATAGAAGGAAACGACTAGCCGACTAGGGTAGCAAAGAGGGTTCAGGAGTAGGTGACTTGGCAGCCTTCGCCTCAGGGGACGCAAGCGATAAACACAGTCACGCATGACAACAAAAAAGGTGGGCGTGTAAAAAATGATGCAAACGAAAACACACATGTACATGAAAAAGACCAAGATGGGCATGAAGCAGTGATGATGAAAACGAAAGCAACATGAAAAAACACATGTTTTGTCTGCCCCCTGTCTGTGGCTGTAAGATTCTCTTAACTTTTGCGGCACGTTCGCGAAACTTTCGCGGGTCTTTCGTGAAATTTGATTGGCGATTTCCCCGGGAAGGCGTAACATTTGCAAACATCTGCGCAGCCCGTCAGAGCAGCTGCAGGTCATTGCCTGACTGTCAGGGCTGTGCTTGCTCAGGTTGCTAGTCTGTGACAGTGGGAACAGGAATCGGAGACTCCTTTACGCACCGAGGGTTTTGCAAGGAAATGTTGAGGCTTCAGTTTGTTAGTCTGTGACAGTGGGAACATGCGGGGACACTTCTGCCCACCCCCGCTGGAGAATTGCCTTGTATTTCTACCATTTGTCGGTCGGTAGAAAGGAAAACACATGAAAGTAAAGACCTTCGATATATCTTTCGTGGAAAAACATACTTTCGCGAATCTCATCGCGAATCTTTCGCGGATGGTTTTAACAGCATCTGAAAAGCTGTTTTGTAAAAAACTCCTTACACGGGGTTTTGGTCAACCCCCATTTGGAAAACCATTGAAATTTTGAACCATTTACTTGAGGGTTTCTTGAGAGTGCCAGAGAATTTGAGGAGCATGTGCTTGAAGACGCATTAAAATGCGAAGCATATACCTGAGTGCACCGTAGCAATCGTGGTGCAATTGCTTGAAGGTTTACTTGACAGTGGAGCGTCTACTGATGGATTTACTGCGAGGAAGATTTCAAGGAAATCTTGGAAGCCATCCCGGTCACTGCGTTTCTCCCGCTATTTGGTATTCTATTATTCTATCTTTGGCTTTTTGAGCGGGAGGTGGAGAACATGCCACCAGGCGGTTCTTGGCTGCAGATGAAGGAGCAAGAGAACACTGCAACTTTCGGTGTTGAGTTGTGGACTTTGTTCAACTACTTTTCGAGGTCTAGTCCCTGCAAGCTTTCTGGAGCTTTCACGTTTTTATGCGACTGCTCTATCAGGAAAACCTATGCAGACTCGGTCGTTTGAGGATCTGCCCGGGTCTTGGGTGGAAAGTCCTGCAACTACGTGGGCTCTTTCTTTAGACCTTGTGTATGCATTCATGAATGGGAGTTCTACTATACCTCTGGCATTGAACAGGATGCTACTTGGGGTGGTGGATGTTCTGCAATGCAACCTCATGGTCTATTCTTTCCTTAGAAGAGGACAACACTGCAACCTCTGGTTTATGGGTCCCCCGTTTGAACTTTCTGAAGGAGATGCCGTCTCCTTGATGCAGCAAGTGGGAGCTCTTCCCGAACCTTTGTGGGGTTTCCGTCGCTTGAGAGGCACCCTGGCAGACGACCAGGGTTTGGTAGACTATGTGGACTATGTGGGCCGATGGTATGTGAGGGAAGTCGCGGTTTGGTGTTTGCCTGATGTCCACATTCAGGACCTCTCTGTTACTTTGCTCAAGCCGAGTACGGGGCATTTGGCGGAGCAACTGTAGGAGGTTTGGCGAGGCCATGATGGTGTTGGTGACGCAGCTCTCTTTGCGTTTTTTTTCTCGAGATCCGATATTCGATATTTCTGCGCGGCGCCGGTGACCATTGTCACGTTCCATCTCAAATCTTTACTGCTCTATTAGCTGTGAATCGTCCGTGGAAGCTGCCGGATAGTCATGTCTGGCCACATGTTCCGTCACCAACACTTTCCTTTGCGTCTGAAGGGAGACCAACACCTGATGTGGACCTTCAGGCAACCATCCGCAATACTGACGCCAACAGAGGCATCTGGATCCGCCATGGCTGAGTGAAGCTGAAGCGAACAAAAAGGATCATTATAGAGATGTGCCTTGAGCGCACTAAAAATAGCTGCGTGCGACGCATTTGATGTGAAACATCAAATCGGTGCAACCTACTTGCGATGGTACTTAGCCTACTTAGCTTATCTAATTTTTTGGAAGTGTAAACGCGTGTGTTTTTTAAATATAGTATCATGTGACATTTGATAGCTCTCCATATGCGTTGGCAATAATTAGGCTCAAGGTAACCTTGCCATACAGGCGTCGTTGCTATCAAGTTGCGCAGATTCCATCCTAGTGTTGACGCAAGCACACAGGCGTGTGCGCAGATTCTACCAAAATCCATGAGAATTCTTACGCCCGCGGATGTCCGAGGAACAATGCTATAGACCTGAAGCGTGCCCGCGTTGTCCACGGAGTGGAAGATGACGAAGAAAATTGGTTGAATTCATGTTTGTTCTTTTGTTTGGCCTATCTTTGTTTTCCGCACATGTTTGGCTCTAAAATGCTATAAATATGTGGCTCATGCAGTGGCATGTAGTGATGACCAAAATGCATGGCTCATGCCATGAAAAGGGTATTCCGCGCATTGTTTTTAGAGATTCTGTTTCAAAAACACAATTCTACAAGTGCTTCTAAACGAGTGTGGTAAGTACATCTATAAGTAACTTGTGAAGTCTTGCAAGTACAAATCAAACCGAAGCAAGTCCTTCATGTGCCCCTGCAGGCAAAAATGCCTCTGGGTTGAAAAGATCGCGTCCGGCCACTTCAAGTGTGACTGTAGGCGTGACAAATGGGCTTAGCTACAGGGTATGATGACCATCTCATGCATGGCAACACGCCCGATCACAATTTAGGAGGCTACTTTGTGTGGACGTGTGCTACAGAAAGACACCCCCTGTCCGGAATCTTACACTCTCTGGATGGCCTCTTGGTTGTTGTAAATCGCTACGTCTCAATGATTGAACTCGTCCAATTTTGCAACGTTTTGGCTGGGCTTGGCTGTTTGCCCGGGCTCTTGTTGCACCCACTTGCGGTTTTGTAAATTTTCATATTTACGAAAACGAGGTTCTTCGCATATTGCATTTTCATCTGGAAACTTCCGATGTGCGCCCTGAACAATCTTTTCTCGAAGCGCTTCCACTTTACCCACGTGATTTGTGGGGAAGTCCGCCACCATCTCCATCTTGTGGTCTTCCTGTCCAGGATGGGCTTTCATCCACTGGTTCTACTCCTGTTGACAGTGAACTGATCAATGGCCGGGAAATACCCGGCTCCAGTCTCCTAACAACGACAACATATGTCTTTGCGTCGCAAAGCTGAAGCGCCTCTCGAGCAGCCTTAGTGAAACGAAGTGGCCCTTTTAGTACTCGAAAACTGATACCTTGCTCCAACTCACCCGCAGAATCAACACGCAATATATTCGCTGCCCCAGGTACCCAGTCTTAGGGATCTCCACTGGATGCCGGTTTCATCAAGGTTGGATTCAAAGAACGTCAATCGCAAAGCCGGAGTCCTACAGTATTTTTCTCGAATACAATGCAACCTTTTCTATTCTTCACTGCTTTGCCAAATGCATGAATCTGTAAAGTTGGCATCGTTTGACATTGATTTGATTGGGCATGTACAAAGAAAACACGTGTGAAACCTTTGATCTCCTCGATGTACGTAGCAACAGCACCAAACGTGGTTTCTTCTTGACCTGAAGGGAGTGGAAATGACAAAATTTGAGCAACTTGATCTTTCTTTACATGACAACACATGGCAATCTGGCAAACGCTTAAGACATACCGTGAGTGGCTACTTAACTTTGGCCCGCCTACTATGCACAGGCGGTATCGCCTCGGCGCCCCAGCTTGCCAAAAGGTGGCTATTTCTTATGCTCTTTTGCTTCCTTTAGACTCTTCTTTGATCGTTTCTCTGGGCCATCAACCCTGACTTTGTACAGGCTAAGTTGAAGTTAGCGGAACATGCGTCAGCCTTAGATCAAGCACTCAGGAATAGCGACAGGAAAACCCCACCTGCACACCACCAACACTAGAAATACTTTAACTAAAACCCACCAGAAAGAAATTCAGTATAAAATCTTTAAGTGCCCACCAAAGAACACAGTCTCCAATGCGGCTCAAAGGCGTTGAATCAACCTGTCATGGACGACCAGGCACAATTCTTGTCGTTTCAACGTTTAGATAGTTGATTCAAGATAGTCTTGGAACATTTAGAGACAAGTCTTCGACGTCTTCCTTTTTTCGTTCTCTTGGATTATTCTTTCCATCTAAGCTTTGTCTGCTCACCATAATCGGAGGGCTCTCTGGGTCAACAAGAGCAGTGAGATTGGAGTCGTTCGAGTCATTTGTGCCATTGGTGTCGTTGACATCCTGCGGGCTCAGATGGTCATGAAGAGGGGTTATGGTGCCTTCATCTTCAAAGGGAGGAGCAAAAGAACTTGTTACTACTAGTAAGGCACTTGGAACTAGAAGGGATGCAATTTTTTCTAGTAGCTTCTTGTTACTACTAGTAGTGCTACTAGTAACAAAGAAAACAGGACACATCAAACCTCCGAAGGTCCCAGCACGAGTCTTTGCGGGAAAGCAACTATAACAGGCACACATCCAGCCATTCTTCTGGCTCTCTTGTTGCTTTCACGCTCCTATTCTATTCATATGCATCCTATTCCATGCACAATCGTTCTCAACGAAATCTCGAAACTCGAAGCGAAAAGAAGGAACTCTCCGTGGAACCTCACTGACATCCAGTCGAATTCCAGTCCGGCAGTCCGGCCTTTAGGTGAACATGTGAGTCGTAGCAGGTGGACGACTTGGGCCTCTTGAATAAGGCCCCTTTTTAACCAAGAGGCCCAAGTCGTCCACCTGCGGTTTTTCTTATCTTTTGAAGCTTTAATGCTGCGACAGCCCTTGTTTCCGATCCTCCATAAAACTGCACTGAGTTGGAGCTGGAGGCACATGGCAATCTGGAGCCAAATAGGAGTGACCCAAGAAGTCGCAGCCTGAGATATCAAACGAGAAGGCTCAATGAAGAATGGTAAATTCAGACAAAACACGGAAGGCAAGGGCTTGTTTAATAAGGTGTGCTCTGCAAGGAGCCTTTTGCAACATTCCCTTACCTTCTTTTTTTATCTCTTGTTTTAAGGCTTCCTTGTTCAAAGTTCGATGGCCGTCATGGCCAAAAACGCACTGACAGGGTGAATTTCTGAATAATGACGGCAAGAAGCCAAGCGCTCCGAACCATACTGCACTCAGGCCAATGCATCTACATCATCTACTTTACTCTGTGCTTTACTCACTTCTCTTGCAGCATCCACGCCTCCTCTTTGACAAAGAATAGTCACGGAGGAGTTGCCAGCAAAGACCACCGTTGGTGTTACAGCAGTCACGGGGCTGATGAAAACGCGGACACCTTCAATGTTTGCCAATCTGGAAATCCCAAAATCACATTTGCATTCTCAACTTTCTAGCTGTGTTTCTTCTACTTCCAACAGAACTGCTCCAACAAAAGGTTTATGTGCACTCGACCACATCTTAAACACATACCAAGCACCACACACATGAAGTTTCCCTAAATATCTTGGAACCAAATCATTAAGCCTGAGCCTTTCTGCATCCTAACTAGTAGCTTCTACTACTTAAGTGAGCCTACTACCTCTTTCCGGCCGACCCCCGCCGCGCCCCCCCGCCTGTGTCGCCGAGTAAGTAGTCCTGCTTCTCTCCACCATCCAGGTCCATGCAAAGTCTTGCGCGGAGTATGATTTCCATGGCAAAACAATCCCCCAATCCAAAACGTCGACTACATGGAGCACGACCTCTGAGTACATTGACTAAGTTGACATCCGATGACATCAGTATAAAACTATACTTAATCAGTACGCAGCACACGAACCGAGTGAGTATGAATTGAACTCCGCCTTCTATATATGTCATGACTTGAATCACACGTGTATTTTGTTGAAAGTGCAAAACACATAACAAGATAAGACTGCGCAAGCTGTGCCACTGCTGTGCCGCTGTGCCTGTATCGAAGGCCACCTTGTAAGGTCTCCGTAGAAACTCCCAGTGTCCAATTTCCGTCGAAAGAGAATCGAGTGGACCTGACACTCTTGAACAAAATACGTTTTGTTCAGGATCTTGTTTGCCTCGTGGGCATCGAACTCAGTCTTTGATTTAGTCGTTTCTTCACGCCGTCCTTCGAAGGCTTGAAATAAACATGTGCTCCGCTCCTGGTGAATGAACTAAAGTTTGCATCTTGCATCTGGATGGCGTCGGCCCTCAGCTGTGTGAGGACAGAGGGAATCTCAACAAAATGACTGAGGAACATGCAGAGCATCTGATGTATCCGATACCTGAGAGCAAAAACAGCTTGTACACTCTGGCTGTGTCAACAACATTGATGAGAATAGTAAACATGATTCTGCAACACTTTGCCTCACTCTCATTGCCCGCAAATTGCTTCAATGCGAGTGCTGCTGCGTAGCAATCCTGCAGAAGTTGAATTTGGCAGGGAAACAGATTTTCCTGCCATAGCTTTCGCATTGTCGACTTGTCTTCAACTGCTTTCAGACCGCAAAGGCCTGTTGTGAGTGAGTGATTTCTATTCATGAGTTCTACTGTATCTTTTGGAATAAATCACTCTATTGACTTATTATTGTTTGTGTCTAGCTATGGGTGCGCCACTCTTAACAGGCTTTGGTTCACAAACGCAACCCCCAAAAAGCTTTCCAGACTGATCCAATGATCCTAAGTACGCTTGGTTCAAACCGGTTCAATCATGTTTTTGTTGCTTCTTCTGCTAGTCCCGTCCTGTCTGATCCTGTGCATGTACACTTCCACATCCATCTTTGCAAGGCACTTTAGGAGCTACACACGTTCTGTTTCCAGAGTTCCTGTTTGACTAAAGGTGTTGACATATTCGTACGACACCCTCTACAAAAGAATACAACACTTTTTCCACAAGGCTTCCCTCCGAGTTCGTTTGAGTTCGCTTGCCCATGTTCTCCTTATACAGGTCTCCTTCTTTTTGCAAGTTCTTTATATTGAAAACAAGTCTGTCGCCTGCATCTACTTCGAGCTCTTTGTCGACATTTTATTGTTCAAAGGGCGATGGCATGTTGTTTCATCCAAAATTCTTCTCAACAGGTGATATCTCCTTTTGGAACCCAGGTAGACTTATTTTCTGTAGCCTCACCCTTCATGTTGTCAACATCTCTTGCTTTTGTCAGCCTTTTTAATATTTCTGAGATCTCGTCAGACTACAAAAAACACATTCATGATGGAAGAATATCCTTCCTTCATCATTAGTCAACCTTTTGAAAAGCCCCCCTGTAACCTGTATCTTCCGAGCAAACACCTGGAGGTTCCTGTCCGCGCCACCGTGGTTCGCAGTTGGCCCCAGTTCTGAGTTTGGTTTCCAGAAGATTGCTTTCAATTGAGTAGACCTTTCTCTTGGCGACAAACTCACTGACTCACTGACGTTTCAGTACTGTTTCCTTAAGTCTGTATGCACTGTGAAATTGTTCCGATGCCTTGAAGTCTGAGAGGAACAATTGCCCGCAATTACACACCCACGATCAATTTTGAGCATTGGTCATTGGCTTGCTGCATTTGATTCGTGCATGGACCCACTGGTTTGTACCAGTGCTTTGAATGCCTGTGAGGCCTGTGAGGTACAAATTTCATTCAAAGAACTTTGCAGAAACAAGGCCTTTTCGCTCGTAAACCTGTAAACTCCTTAATGGAATCTGCATCTTACCTTATCCAGAAGCAGGATTCCCTGACAAGTCTCCTCTTGAAGGGAAATGCTTGCAAAACTGTATGCTTAGAAGCTCCTATATTGTCGAATTCGGCCTCACTGCATGAAGAATACATCCTTGTCCTTTACGCGCATTAATCACATCCTCTTCTTCGTAAAGGCCCTCTGCTCTTGAACATATTCGTTTCAGAACGGCCCGCCTCACCCACACTGAACAACTGCAAGAACATATATAGAGTCACATACACACAACATCATACAAAGAAAACAAACTGTTTACTTCATTATATATACCTCGAACCCATACACGGTCATATATAGCTTATATTAAACATGTTTATGTGATAATTACTATGCTTAACTTTTAATTCCTCTAATTCAATTAGTAAGAATGCTCCTAGTATCAGGAGCCCCGTTCGTAGCGCCCTTGGGGGCTTCCTTGAAGAACCCCGAGCTAAGAACGTAGCTCCGTAGTAGCTAAGAAGTAACTTCAAATTGTTTGAACGACTGTTTTTCCAGCTACTAGATTATACTAGATTACTATAGATTACTAGATACTGCTTTTCCAACCTTTCACGTCCCAACTTGTCCAGAGCAAGGAAGCCCTCCGACATGTCGGAGCAGTCTGAGCAGTTGAAGCGAAGCACAGTATAGGCTGCAGACTTCTGGAACTCAACCTCCGGCTTTTTGAACCGGTTTTGTGCACGGCTTTTGGCGTTTAGAGTTCTCAAACACTTTCTCTGCTCGAACTGGACCAAACTTCATGAACGCCAAGATTGAGATTGTATCGCCTCCTTCACGGGGCTGAGGTAGACCTGGCTCAAAATGAAAGGTAATTGACCTCGCTCTCAGAGATTGGTGCCTGATGAAGCGAATCACCGGTCTTCAAAGCCCAGTCCACGCCATCGAGGTCAATGCAAAAGCTGGCGTCAAGATTTACTGCAAAGAACTACTTTCCATTTTGCAATCTGCTTTAGACATGTAAAAAAGTAGTTAATACATTTCCAAAGAAATCGTTTGTACATTTTAAGTGACTCATTATCCTTCAATTCTATGGTCCTGTGACGCCTGTTCTTGTATTAAGCAACTCCATAGAGGTTTGGTTCCACGACACCCCTTCCATATTGAACTTCCCTTTTCAGCAGTTTTTCTTGTCACACCGTCCCTTTTTGCGACCCCATCCGTATCCTGTCCATTCTCTACCAAGGCCTCCTTTACCCAGTTCAGCTCCTACTTTAAAGACGTTTGGACAACTTTCCACCCCGCACCACTGGAACCCAAAACGCACGCAGAATCCAATGAACGGCTTGCCTATTTGGCGGGTGAAAGAGATAGGTTCCGCACTTGGCTCTTGCAATGTGGTGGTCAAGATGAGGTTCAAGCTGAAGGAATGAAGGGAAGAACATAAGGACAGAAAGGTGGAACATGTTTAAGTTCCCTATAGATCAATCATGCAAAAGAAAAACTGGCTAGTAGCCACTAAACGTTAGATACTAAAGGTGTTAGCTACATATTAGCAGCCTATCTCCAAGAGAAATAACAAACAACAAGATGGTGATGTAAAACAAAGAAAGGACCCTCATGCTTCCATGGTCACGGGGTGCTTTCAAAGGGCCATTATTTCTTTTGTATTTTCGGCTTTAGTTCGCGTGAAACATTGAGTTTCTGGGAGCCGATTCTGAGAGACTGGGACACAACATGAACCAGAAATTCAGCAGCCAGCAGTGTAATTAATTGAAGAAAGCCGGGTCATTGCTTCGATCTTCCATTCGAAGGGCAAAAAGGAAACAAAAGACATGCGACCCAGAAATGCCTGTAGTGCCGGCCCGCTGGCAAACCATCGGTTCGCAAATGAACTGAGAAGACCTCCGTCCCATTGCCAGCCTGGCAAGCACGTCTTGGCTTTGCATATCTTTCGATGTTTGCTGATCTGATGTTTTGACGGTTGTGACAATTGCTGCAAAAGAGCAAAGAACATAGAAACACAAAAGTGTTTGAGCTCCTTGAATGTCCTATTAAAGACCTTAGGCCCAAACACCTTCTTATTTTCAGTTCTTTTTCTGTTTCATATGTTATTTGCCTTTAACTTTTGCCACATGTCTGTCGGATGGCCTCGGAAGAGCTATCTGGAATCAACAAGCTGGACGACGTCATCTCTCCCAGGACCTGAGGCACAAAGCCAAGAGCCAAACAATTTTTCTTATGTGAAGTCTAAGTCTATCGGCATTTGCTGACTTACACATAATTAAATTACTTAGACATACTTAGACATGTTCATTTTAAGCTACTCTTGGTATATATCTACTTCCTTCCCTCCATCTCTCTCTTGTTCTTCTGTTCTTCTTTTCAGGCTCATCCATCTCCGACCTCGATGGTCGATGCATCTGGGTCGTTGATGTCACACGTCTTGGCCAAATAGGCCTGCGACCTTTCAGAACCTCGAATTCGCTTCATTGAAATACAAGAGATAAGGTCAAAACACATCGCACACACAATTATTCGTATTGGTCTTTCATCGCTTCTTTACACTCATCGTACTTATCTTTCTTTCCCCACGTCAAGCTGCTGTTTTGGCATCCCAAAAGGAAACTCTTCAGCAAAACTTTTGTGGCCGCACAAAGACTCAGGCTCTGACAGCCTCCACCAAGACTGCACGCAAAGGTTATGACTTCGTCCACGCCCTTGAAAGGGACAAGGCCGGTGGCATCTGAACACACGTATGGAAACACCTCTTTCGCGTGGTAGAGACAACTACGCCAGCCCAAAAACAAAACCTTCACAAACAACGTATTTGACTCAGGATATTTGAGGGACGGGTAGGAATGTATATGCCTCTCTGCTTTTCAGTGCACTGCAGGACGTGAATCAGCTTTGTGCGTGCAAGTTTTTCCAGATGTTTGTTGTGTCTTTTTTGAACTCTCACATGGAAGCGATCTTCAAAAGGTGTCAGCCTCTTTGCCTCCATGTTAAAATTTTCACTTTTGACTGAACAAACACATTTCCACAGAACAACTGGTGATGTGTTTGATGATAGCGATTGAACAAATCTGTATATAGTTTGATTCATCAAGCCTGTGGTACACCCTGGGTGAGGAGCTCCTGGATCCCAGAAGTGAAAACACCTGTTTGGACCAAGCAGAAGTGACGCACAAAGCATTGACAAACTTTATTCATCGCTCTTCGGCTTTCAGTGTTGCACCTTGTGCATCTCCAACGGGCATTGGTCCACTTCCGTCCACATCCAAACCTTGAGAGGATACGAATAGCCAATATCATCATATATCCTGTCTAACATTTTTTCAACCGAATTCTTGATCCCCCAATTAAGTTGCTCGCAACTAGGGGGGTTTGCGCCAAGAACAAAATAATTAGGGTCAATGGCCAGAGTTATCCAGAGTTCAGGCTTGTCGCTGGGCCTTTTGTCATGGCAAGGCTAGCAAACCTTGGTGTCAAGTGGCAGGTGCAGTGCTTGGGTTGTCCTTCTTAATCGCAATGGTGTTGCGCTCTCGTTGTGCATGGTGGTGAATTTGGTTGCAGCAGGCGTTTTGGCGGCCGTCTGGCATGCTGAGGCGTGGTGAATAGTGAGCTTTGGAGTTTTCGTTGGGAGAATTATCGAAAACTGCAAAAGCGGACCTTCTCCTTGAGCATTCACGGCCTAGCGGAGTATACAGTGAAACTTGAGTGTGATTCAAAAGTCTAAGTACTCCTCCTTTGGTGGCTCAGCTGACGCTGCCCGTCTCCTTTTTCACACGCTGTATAAAAAATAACCACCTTTTGTAGCTCTGCGTGCATTCTCTTGCCTGCCATGAAGCTCTGGATCTCAACGCGTCCATTTTCTTATCAACATATATCGGTCCATCCGTTGCTCCTCCTTCTCCAGTCGCAATCACTGCTGCTGCATCTGTCATATCGACATCACGATCTGGACTTTCAGGTCTTTTAACTTAAAGTTCCTGTTCATCTTGCGGTTCAATTGGTGGAAGAGCTGTGAGCACCTCTCATCCATTGTTCTCGGCGCCAGTTCGCATTTAAATATTCCACTGGAATCTCAACTTCTCTTCCATCATCCAGTAGAACTGTAGCTGTCATGCCACTCAAATTCTCTTCATTTCCTTCTTCCCTCGGGCTTGATGCCACTGCGCCACTTCCTCTTGTCGAAGGTGGTGGAGTATCAGCTCTGTTTCATCTCCTCCCCTTCTCTGTGTGATCGACGTCCCGTCTTCTCGCATTTGCTTCAGGTACCATGAGTCTATCTGCCATCTTCTCTTGTCCCCACTTTTGATTGCCCTTCTCAAGACACTTCATGCATCTCTCCTCAGTCTGAAGTCAACTCTTCTTGTTCCACAAAACCGTCTTCACTATTTCTCTGTGAAAGCGTTGGCAATAGTCATCTCTAATAGAATCACTAGACGACGGGTGGCCCGAGAGCGAGACATGTGATTGTCCAGTACAGTGGAAAAGACATCGATAAAGAAAGAAAGAAAGGATGGACGTGAAGGAGTGACTGTGTGGATGTGCAGGTGTCATATAGATGTGTAGATGTATGGAGGTGGAGAGGTAGATGTATGGATGCGAGCGTGCGAAGACGTAAATGGACAGAGGCGAGAGAAAAGATATATCTTAGGCTCGTCAGAAGTCAGTCGCTCTTCAAACGGCTGAAGACAAGTCAGTCTCATTTCAAGACAAAAACGAAGTCAACCGTCAGCAGGTCGAAGCGCACACAAAATGGAGTTGTGTGCGCTTCATCCTGGTCCCAAAAACAAGCGGCGAGTAGAGATCCTGCGGGCAGAGGCTCAAGGCAAATCACATTGACTTCAAGTATCAGACACAGAGAAAGCACGCAGTAAGTATGCTTCCAGTCATCATCTCCACTCTCGCGCATAGGCCCTTCTTCCTTCAACGCACTCTCGTCTGCATTTCGCGCCCTCGACACGCACCAGCTTCTCAGAGGATTGCCCTGGACCGGGCCAAAACCACATCGCACTTATGAATAAGCAAAGAAGCTAAAATTTGTCAACCTCTCCAGAGAGCCGGGTGGTCGGGACACATGGCTCAGCTGCAGGGGCGCCAGAGCAGCCGCGAGAGATGACTCAGCGAGAGATGAATTATCCGCGCACTCAAGTTGTACTACAAAGTCGTCAGTTCTCAGCTTCCAGTCCCACCGCTTGCTCCGCGTACTAAAGTTGTTCTACAACGTCGCCAGTTCTCATCTTCCAGCTCCCCAGATACTCCGCGCACTAAAGTTGTACTAGAAAGTCGCCAGTTCTCATCTTCCAGCTCCCCAGAGACTCCACGTACTGAAGTTGTACTGGACAATCACGGGTTCTCATCTTCCAGCTCGCCAGATACTCCGCGTACTAAAGTTGCACTACAAAGTCGCCAGTTCTCAGCTTCCAGCTCCACAGATTGCTCCGCGTACTAAAGTTGTACTACAAAGTCCCCAGTTCTCATCTTCCAGCTCCCCAGATACTCCGCGTGCTAAAGTTCTACTAGAAAGTCAAATACTCCGCGTACTAAAGTTGTACTAGAAAGTCGCCAGTTCTCATCTTTTAGCTCCCCAATCGCACTCTCGCCTGCATTTCGCGCACTCGACGCGCACGATCTCCGCAGAGGGTTGCGCCGGACCGGGTCAAATCGCACTCTCGCCTGCATTTCGCGCACTCGACACGCACGATCTCCGCAGAGGGTTGCGCCGGACCGGGTCAAATCGCACTCTCGCCTGCGTTTCGCGCATCCGACACGCACGATCTCCGCAGAGGGTTGCCTGCGGCAAAGACAAATCGCACTCTCGCCTGCATTTCGTGCGCTCGACACGCGCGATCTCCGCAGAGGGTTGCGTTTCGCGGCGGTCCGGCGGCGCTGCCCCCGGCCTTAAGAGAGAAAGTTAAGAAGAGCGAGAGGTGAAGATGTGAGCTGTAGATGTGAGGATGTGAAGATGAGCAGAGATGATGTGAGGATGTGAAGATGAGCAGGGATGAACAGAGATGATGTGAGGATGTGAAGATGAGCAGAGATGATGCGCAGATGTGAAGATGAGCAGAGATGTAGATGCGCAGATGTGAAGATGAGCAGAGATATACGTGTGAATGTGGATGTGCACAGGTGAAGATGTGAAGATGTTTTTTTACGAAGAACCCTTCGCAGACGCTCTCGGGAAAAAGGCCCTTGATTGACCACATAGGACTTGAACTCGAGTCTGGCTTCCTCAGTTTCTTCCTTTGCTGACTTCAATCCTAAGACCTGAAACCTCAAAGCTGGTTCGTTTTCTTCCATCCTCTTCTCTAGCTTCTTGTATGGCTTCCTAATCAGGAACACACCAAATAGAACTACTGCTGTTGCACAAAGGATCACCCAGAACCATGTCCTTGATAAGCTCTCCTTCTGCAATGTCACTTCAGTTCTTTCCGCCTGCGCCACTGACCCAAGGCCGCTTGCAAACATAATCTTCTCAGGTGCTGTTGCTAGTCTTTGGACGTTGCCTCGTTGCATTTCTCTCTCCTCAACTCCTTGTCTTTCCTTCTCACCGACTCCGTTGCCATCCCCATCGATTGCATGGCATTTGCGCAGTAAGAACTTCAAACTTTGTTGACTAAGCAGTTGGGTTCCAATGTCTGACACATTGCGAGTTGTTCCAATCTGCTTGACTTCAAGTTCCTTTGAAGAAATCATCTCTTGACACCATAGAAGTTTTCCTCTGACGCGCCTCGGCTTTCCATTACCTCTCGCGCATGATCTGTCTTGTTGCTGAGTTTGCCATCAAGCAAACATGTTGGACTTCTTCGTCTGTCAGAAACTTGAGACATTGCCGAATGAATACTCCATCACGCGCACCTCCAACTAATGCCTGTAATTCACTTTCAGCACGGCTCACACTGACTACTTTCTGTCCTCTCGATGTTGCAAAAACAACACACCCGTTCACCACACGTACAGATGAAGGTGTAGATTTCCGATGTCCTTTGGTCCGCTTCAATCTGCATCAGTGAATGTCTCTAGCAACCATTTCTGAGTTGATAGTATGCACATACCACGACCTCCTGTTCGAAATGGATCCTTCACGTGTTGGCCTTTTGTTGACTTAAGATAGCCAATCAGCTTCTTCATCCTGCGCATACTCAACGCTGTTGGCGTTGACATAGAGGAGGCAAGCTCTTTGATCGTGAAGCTCAAATCCAACCTTTCCTGTGACAAGCAAATGCCGCTACCCACTAGAGATCGGTATAGCGCTACTTCTTCTGAGCTTAGCTCTTCAGATCCACCTGCCTCTTGAATCTCTGGTCCTGAAGGCACTTTCTGCTTCTTGGCTTGGCCATAGAAATCTTCAAAGTTCTTGATCACGTCACTGGCATATCGTCCTGGCGTCATGTATAAGCCGCCATTCCCAAGCTTGCAGATTCTCTTCAGAATTGGAACTCATCTCCTGGTGATTTCATTTGGCTCACTGAGATCTCAAACTTTCCTCTCAATTGTCCAATGAAGTTCTGAACTGCCTCCTCCTGCCCGTAATGCAGGATGTCGTCAGCATGAAACAACACAAAGACTTGATCTGCCTTTCTCCCGAGACATGCGTTCTCTTTGCAGAATTCAAATCCAATGCTCTCCAGAAACTCAACTAAATGGTTGAACCACGCTTGAGCTCCCTGTCGTTGACCTGGCAATTCTTCAACTCGCAAACCTGCAATTGATTCTTCTGATCCACTTGTAGGAAGGCGTATGATATCCAAGCTTCCCATCACAGATGTTTTCTAGCAGAACCCTGACCCTCTGTCCATCAAAATCACCAGTGGTAAAAGTCGAAGTGCGTGGGCGCTTGTAACAGCCGAATGTATGTCACCCCCTTTCGTGTTGGCAAACTCTCTTGCCACAAGACGTCCTCTTCGAAGCCACTGCTTCTAGAAGTTCTGTTCATTGGCTATACCTCAAGAGCATAGAAGTTCTGTTCATTGACTACTTCATCCAAGTGGTGCATCTCAATGTTTTGACATTGTACTTTGTCTAATCGCTCTTGAATCACCTGAATCCGCAAAGAACTTGACGGCCTTTCTCCTGTTCCACCTCTCTTCGACTCTTCGGAGCTGGTTCTGACACGACTGCACCTTCTGGTGGTGGTGTTTTCCTCAAAACTCTTTCCCATGGAAGCTCTTCAAAGATCACATCTTCAAGCTTCTCCATAGGTGTATCTTCCGGTGCAATCTCTGGCGTTCCTGGTTGTCAGCATGAACAGGAGCTGCTGGCCTGCAGTCTCTTGAAGTTCTTTCATCTCTTCTGCTCTACCTTGATAGGACCCGGCATATTTCTCAACTTTGGCTTCCAAAGGTGGCATTGGCCCATTCCTCAATGCTTGGGCTCCGACTGCCCTCTTCGTAGGCACGGTCTGAAATTCCCACGATGCTGAGGAAAATCACATGTACTAAGCAAGAATCTATATCCACTCTTCTCACACGTCTAGTACGCATGATCCTTTCACCATCTGACACAATCCAAACAGCTTGTCCATCGGTCCTGCCCAAGAAGATTGTCATCTTCCACTTTGGATCTCCTTTCGGCGGGCTTAGAGCTTGTGACCTCACAAAGGCATAGACTGGACACCCAAAAGGTACGATGCTTCCCGTGTATTGCTTTCCATGAACCAGTTCAATAGCTGTCACTCTATGATAAGCTTGGTGTCTGTTCATAATCCAGCAAGCGTGCTTCGCTGCCCATGACCACAATGGGTGATTGCTATTCAGCCTCACTTTCCATGATGGTACATGTCAATCCTCACACCCGTCGCGCTGCGTTCTCCGCCAGCGAGTTTCCAGCACCATCGCGAATACGGGAGGTGAGGATTCTTGTCCTCAATCCAAGCGCATGTCTGCTGAACAGAACCCTCAAAATTGATCTGATGGTTGGTTCATTGTCTCCATAGAAAGCTACTTCGTGGTGACCAAGGTGTTGGCAACATGTCATAACTTCTTTTGCTGCAAAGTTGACCTGGGCTTTACTCTTCAATGGCGTTGCTTCCACGCTTCCCGTTTGTGAACATGTCATGATCATCGACATTTTTGACTTTACTTCCTTCAATCCCCTTTCTCCCAGCACGTTCGCCTCTTTCCTCTGCTCTCTTCTATCCATAAGGCCTGCCTTGCATGTGAAGGGAAGATCGAGACTGATGACCGGGATGCCTGACAGCCTGACATTCTCGCTGCTCCAGTTTGAAGACGCCTATCCTGTCTTGCTCTACGCAGTGTTTCCCTTGTTCTTCTTCTGTGGGAACTGAGACAATGGCTTGCCCTCGTGCCTCTCTCGACAATTCTCTTTTCTTTCAAATGACTCATGATTCTCTGAAAGCATGACAATTTGCTCCCAGACTGTGAAATTCCGAAAAACTTGCAAGCTGCTCGAAGTTCACGAAGTGGGCCATCCTTTGTCAAAGTGATGCCATTCGCCTCGCCTTATCAGCGTCTGGACTTCCCAGCGCCAATCTACCCACCTGAATCGTAGGGTCTTCCTCATGCGTTTGTTGACGTTCAATCTCCTCCTGTGCATGTTCCTCTTCGCGCTCTGCAACTGGAATTCTGAATTCTGGAACCCTTCACGTGATTGCTCTCTCTGTCTCAATGGCTCCAAAACTTCAAAGCCAAGGTCTTCTGGTCCACGCTCACCTGCTGACAAGGTTGTCAACACTAAGGCTCTCTCCCTCAAGCCTTCTATCTTCTCCTCTTGCTCCATCATCAGGTTGAGGGGCATCGCCATCTCAACCAACTTCCACTTGCCGTGCTCCTTCGTGAAGGTAGTCCTGTCCCAAACCATTTCCTGACCAATACCACTCACCCCAAGAAGTGTCTGAGGACACGTGGATAAGGCAATCCCAATCCACTTGCTTCCATACTTCTTCCACCTTGCCTGTGACTTCACCATCTCCTCAAGCTCGTTTCCAAGCTTCACTTCTATTAGAATCTAGGGCTCTCGCGAAACATGGTAATGCTTCCACTTTGCGAATCTTCGCCTGAACAATCAGACTCTTGCGCTGCGTCTATAAGGGAACCTTAACTTGCGACCCAAAGTGAAGAGCTTCTCCTGGCCATCTATCCCCCATCCAGCCACCAATCTTCCGAACGACAAGATAGGTTGCCGAACTTCGTCTGCAAAGTGGAGGCATTCGTGCGCCTGTACTTCATGGCCTTCTTCTGTTTGCATGATGGAGCGCACATCTCTCAACCCTTTCACTTCAATCTTCGCGCCTTGAGCGTCATGAAGATGATGTGGATTCTCCTGAGATGGTTGTGAGCATTTCGCTTGGCCAGACTGTGGCATCTGCACCAGAATCCAAAACTACTGGAAACCAATGCTCCTCACTCCGTAGGTAACCTTCGTCATAGCCCGTACTGCACTAACAGACAATGTCACCTCATCACTCAACTCTCTTGGCTCATCCTCCTCCATGAAGAAGAATTGGACTGCCCTGATCACGCCACTGTCTTCGTCTAAGCCCCTCAAATCAACCACGAAAGGGTCCAGCGAGGTTTGTGAAACGCTCTCCATAGAGATTTGTGAAACTCTCTTGGCGCTGGCTCGATTGGCATTCGCGTCGTCCTGTGCTGCATTGCTGGTTCCACCTCCAGTGGATGGTGTAGAGGACTGTGGATTCTCAGCTACCTGCCGGACTCTCCAGCAATCCTTTGCCACATGGCCTGGCTTGCCACGCGTGTAACATACTTTGCCTTTGCCTTTGCCATCTTTCCAGGAACCTTGCTTCTCCCCTTTTCCTTTGCCCCAGCCTTCTTTGTTCCAACTTTCGTGGCCTTTCTTACCTCCAGCTCCTTTCCCTTTGCCGCCTTTGTTGTCCTTTGCTTTGCCCCTTGACTTACCGTCTTTGGTCTTTCCCTGGCCTTTCTTCCGATTGTCCTGAACTCGATCGATGTCCATAGGTGCCAAACCTTTGTCATCCGAAGTCAACATCATCGCTTGGCTCCACTTCGATGTTGCCTTGTCATATTCCCTCTCTAAGTGACATAATTTGTGGATTCTGAAACCTGCAGTTGTAGCCACGTTTTGATGTTTTCTGAAAGATACTTCATCAATACAACAAATTGATCGCTGCAGCCAATGTCGCTCCAGTCCTCTCACACTCTCGAAAAACATCTTCTTGTTTCGCAAGTTGTGACAAGTGACAACATGTTCTTCTACACGTCGAATGGAGACCATCCGAGAATCGCATTGAGTATACCGAGAGATCTATTCCTGCTCACTGGCTCCAAGGAGTTCAAAAGTTGTCTGTAGGCTTCAAACCCATTGCTCTTTGAAGCTTGTCTCAATACCAGCAAGAGCAAGGGTCTAACCTTCAATAATCCCGCCAAAAGACTATACAGACATGAGCTGCGGCTGTCAACTTCTGTCGATGGGTTCTTTCTCAAAGCTTCGAAGTCTGCAACATATTCGATATCAAAGGGTGTTAAATACTGTGCCAATGACCATGCAAAATCACGCCACATCGACAAATCCTCTTCTCGACTCTTAAGATCAAAGACCCCAGGCTTGGGCAATGTTTTGTACCAGCTCTTTTCACCATGTCTTTGGCTCTTTGGCTCTGCCAAAGCTTGAGCTGCTACCGTAGCTGCCATGGATGCAGCTTCAACTGTCGCCAACATCATTCTCCTCGCCAATTCTGCTCCATCTATCTGCTGGCCAACGGCTCCACTAGGGCTTCCAGCTGGGCTCATCACTGGAGAAGCCTCCGCACCAGCCATGGCGTCGCAAACCTGAGCCTCACTCTTCCTGGATCCTTGGCTCCGCTACCATGCGAAAGCGGACCTTTTCCTTGAGCATTCACGGCCTAGCGGAGTATACAGTGGAACTTGAGTATGATTCAAAAGTCTAAGTAAAAGCTTTGTTTGGTATCTCGCTTGGGTTGCGAAAAGCCTTGGAAGGGTGTATCGTGCGAACCTCGAAGTGCATATTTTGGGCGTGCATACTGTCATGTGTGTCAGGTGCTTTTGTATGTGTGCCCTCAATTTTGTTACGTTCATCCTCTCATAGTTTCCTGTTGCTGCTGCGGACCCTTTGCTAGGATATTGGGGAAGTAGGGGTCAAGCGGGTTTTAAGGCGTATCAAGGCTCTAAGATTTTGGAAGCTACTAGAGAAGCCTCTTACTAAGAGTCCTGTCCTGTCTATGTGCAAACAATGTAACAAACTAGACGGTTCTTCAGGAGGGACGGAGCAACAAGGGGCAAAAGCTTGAGACGAAGGATCAAAGTCTAAACCTGTCCAATGATTTTAGTGAAGCTGAGCGGAAGCTGATAAAAAACGGTTAATTGTGTTCATCTTCGCATCTTTTAGGACGGCTGAGGCCCAAGCAAAGCCTAAGTTCAAGCCCTGCAGGTGCTGGGACGGCAATCTCCCATAATTCCGCTGGCGTACTGCAACAATGCCATGATGAACAGAAACAAAAGTTAAGCAAGCTGAAAGCAAGGTGTAAAGAGCATGAATACAATGTGTGACCCTCAAGGATAAACACAGACACACACACACACACAGTGCATTCTCAACAAATCTGAAGAATCTGGCAGGTCTGCCTATCATTGGCAAGATAGAGGATCTTTGGCCACGGATTCGCGACTTTAGTGACTGCCTGGGAATGAAAGGTTCTGAACACCCCTGGAATCCTTCCATTGGTTTTGTCTGTCTGTCTGTCTGTTTGTTTGTTTGAATTAAACATCAATCGAGCAATTCACCTTGATATTTGCGGCATGCTACCGAAGTCTACAGGTCCTCTAATGCCAAAACAAAAGTAACCCCGCACGTCACGCTTGTCTGTAGCAAAGCGGAACAAAACCGGACGGGAACGATAGTCGGGTAGATGCGGATGACGAGCGGGTGGAGTAAGGGAGGGCCAGGGAGGGTGGGAGGGGTGGAGTTGAAGACCAAGGATAGATGGGAAGGATAGATGAGAAGCAAGTGCGACGTGCGGAAATCTCTTCAACTTTTTGGTGTGGAATGGCCACACGAAAGTTGAACGACAACATGCGGGCCCGAACCAATGCTCATTTGTGAAGTCGAATCAACTTCAAATCACCAGGTCTCCAAGGAGATTTCGACGAGGAACTTGAACAGTTGTTGATCTTTCCTTGCGTGTCTGCAAAAGGGAAGGTAGTTGCACTTGTCACGGAATTGTGTTTCTCAGCACAATGTTTTTTAGCTTTACAGCCAGGGCTCCCTGTTTTCAGCAGTTGGTCTTCTAAGCACCTGAATTATACAGTGCATTGAAAGGGTTCCCATGATGGGAGTGGTTTGTTCCATTTGGGATTTGAGAATGACACATGTACCTGTATCTTTGTGACATGATCCCTGGTCGGTGAGTCAAAACAAAATGTTCTACCAAGGTTTTTTTCTACGATTTTCAGAGTTTACTTGGATACTTAATTACTGCAATTTTCTGCCACGCCCCCTTCCTGAGACTTACCACGTATTTATTTTTTGAGGAGTCGGAGGACTAGGAAGGAAACTGTGAGCGGCACAAAGCAAAGCACTAACATCTTCGTCAGTCTGGAGCAGTCCGGAAGCATCTACAAGAATCTGTCTCACAAACGTAAGTAACACCGTTGGAAGTACCGACAGCGAAGCACTCTGTGGGGTTTAGAAAACTCTGCTGACCCGTTTCAGGACTAAGACCTCGACTGACAAATACGCTGAGGTTGAACCAATGGCGCAGTCGCTCGAAATAAAACCCAACCTGCAGAAGAATCTTGACACACTTAGAAAGTGAAATAACGGATCCAAACAGGACCTACCGGACCTACCGGGATACAGTCTCAGAAGAGAACACAAATTATGACATAATGCTCTTGAAAACGCAGCAACACCTTTACTGCACATATAGAAAATAACAAAACTGACGGCATGACGCACTGCTGCTGCAACCGCCCGGATGACACACAATCCGGAGAACCTGAAAAACAAGTGACTAAACAGCTAAAAACTTGGTAAGGGACAAACAGAAAACGCACAACACATTTACAGCAAGCAAGGATTTGGTCTTTCAACATGTTTCCTTTTTTTGGTCTTCAGAAGGTGCTAGTAGTAACAAGTGCCACGCTTACTAGTAGTAACAAGGTTCGCTATTAGGAACAAGTGCCCCGACCGTCACCTTGTGAAACCCGGACCAGGACAGGAGTTTGTATTTCCTTACTACTAGCGTCCTTGTTACTACTGGTAAGGCACCTGTTACTACTAGCGTGGCACTTGTTACTACTAGCTTCTTGTGTTTCCGTTCTCCATATTGTATTTCAATAGTCTCTTTTCTGTTCTCTGATCTGCCGGTTTCTCCCAAAGGCAGCTGCTTCACCCCAGAAGACTGCCACTCGTACCTAGCGAACATCACTTCGAAGGATCTTCGGGTTGAAACGACTTTGCGCTGCTTTGCGCCGCTTTGCGCACGGGTGAAATGTATATAGAAAATCCAGTTTCACCGGCCTGGGAGGACGGCTTGTTCTGATTCAACTGGTCTTATGAGGCTGAAACCAAGCTGTAAGTAAAACCTTCGATCATGTTTGGCTCATGTGACTGCAACTTCATCCTCAATGAAAAACTAGAAATCTCCCACTAAGAAAAACTTTCCCACTGCTGAGAGGAAGACAGGAAACAAGTTTCCAGCTCCGTCTGCATCCACACAAATCCTCAATTTGTTGCATTCAAAAGCGCAACATATTCTTGACCATAAAAACAGGCGAGGGACTGGTAGGTGTAGCCAGAAGGTAGCAAAGCAGTGCTCAACGTCAATCCAAAGCGATCTAACGCCAAACCTCAAGGAAAGTACCAAATTTGTGATTTGTGGCATGACAAATTGAAATTGATGTGTTTGGGGCCCAGACCGTTAAATGAAGGTAGTCGTTGCAGTTGCTGGGGTGGAGATACTGGTGTGCAGTCTCCCACAAGTGACAGAAACGCCTTGGCTGAGTGCCCCTGAGACTTGAATCCACAGATAATTTTAAACAAAGAAACGTCTTGACTCTTGACATACAGTATTTCGCTATCTTCAATCTTCAACATACTTCAGCCAGCATTGGATACACAAACCCTTTTCAGTTGGCGATACTTTTTGGTGGCACATTTATCAGAAACCTCAAACCAGCCTCCGTCTCCACACCACATCCACCGCTGCCGGGCAAACACAGCAGCACTAACTGCAGATCTCCTTGACAGGAGTGATGCAAACAAATGCAACTAATTTCTTAGTATATTCATGCATCTTAGTATCGTTGTCGCTTTGTTTTCTTGCAGGTGTTCATCCAAAATTGCTGCGCCTTGTTGTTATTCCCAAACTTGGTTTTGAGGTCGCCACTGCCAGCTGAAATTGATTCCTGCCCTGACCTTAAAAGGCGGACATCGCAACAGATCGCCAGAATCTAAAATGTGTGCGCTTTGAAGAAGTTGTGAGATTGAATTTCAGCGGACCTTTAAGACTAGATTCGAGATGCCGAACGTGATTCGCCCGTTTTTCCGAACAGAGTTGTGGTCGCGCCACGGTGAGTGAAGACCAAATCTTCGAGTTTTCAAACACGACAGAAGTCAGTCTGTCGGTAGCAGAGCTGCGATGGAAAGTCCAAGTGCGTTTCTTTAGCGTCGAGGCAAACTGTAAAGCAAGGCTGTGTCTCTATTAGGTTGATTTTTTGCAATTTGATTGGTTGGCCTGACAGGAAGAAAAACATGTTTGCAACTATTGCTACAGGGAGCAATTTTTCTCAGCTTTTGAACGACTTTTGGTCCGAGTAGTGCACCCACCAGTCAACTTCTACTGAGAACGCATTACAGTATCTGCATTTCATATCATTCCTTACTTCTGAAGGATATGGAATTGGCGACTCTTTAAGGTCCTACTCGTCAGTCCAAGAACCGAAGAAATGTTCTCCAGTTCAACCCGTTGACACTGGATGAGGGCACCTTGCTACTAGTAACAAGCGCATCGCTTTTTAGAAAATCACATGGAACTAGAAGCGAACCTTGTTACTACTAGTAAGGCACTTGTTACTAGTAGCGAGGCACTTGTAATTAGTAGCAAAGAAAACACTATTGAGTTTTTGGTGTTTTGACACTACCGGAGGATTGTGGTTCGACTGAGACACTTACTTCTACAGAGATTGACGCCTTCACCATGGAACTTATACTTTGTGTCCAATGAACGATTGTTTCCACCGCTTGATAGCTGATAAATGTTTTAAACAGTCTGTGACAAACTAGGCTTGCTGTGGAATTTCTCTGCCATTCTGTGCGCAGGTTCAATCTGTGCTTTTTGCAAATGCTCAGTGTGCAAATCGTATGTTGCTGGCCGTCAGTTTTGCGTAGGAAGTCTTGTGGATCTTGTTTGGTCTATTCGATATTTGGGAGCAGATTGTCTATTCGACTTTGAGCGACTCATTCGAGAGGGTTTGTCCAGGTGCTCCCCGACGGCACCGAAAGCACATGCTAGCTCTGCTGGATTGGCACTTTTTCGCAAAGACCAGAAGCGATATGATACTGCTCTCGCACCCTTGGAGTATTGAAATTGTTACTTGAAGCGATGCACTTGTTCCTAGTAGCTTCTTGTTACTA